CTTGTCCATTACCATTTCCACCATTACCCGCTCCAAAGATGGCATTGCGAACATTTTCCGGTTGTGTCAGAGCAACCGCAAGTCGATCCGCTATCAATTGTTCTAACTCTGCCGCGGTTGTAGGCAGCCCAGCTTCAGGTGCGATGGGTATTTCACTTGGCCTGGATTGTACCCTTCTGGGCCTCCCGACTGTTCTTTCGGGAATAGCCGCCAGATTCGGGTGCAACCTTGTGCTTCTTCTTCTTTGTGACATGTTACTTAACTCCCTATTATATTTAACAATAACACATTAGTTGATTGTGTCGTGCTATATGGAAATTTTCAATATTACTTTTTCACTTTTCGATAAAACTTATTGCATTATTTGGGAATTTTACCAATTATAAAATTTACGCATTAAATTGATACCGAAGAAAATATGCATAATATGCTTCAATATATCATACATAGTGACATTACACACATCATTACATTAACTTTCGTAAGGTTTTTGGGAAGCAAAAGTTCTACTAATTATTACATCAATGGTCAAAAGTCCCAAAAATTGCAACGAGTTTTGCACCCTGTTATAACGTACTTTCCCAAAACCATGATAATACCAAACATTACATGCTTAATATATATAATCCTAGATGGTCTTCTACTACCACATCTGTCACCACCTTGTCACTATCTGGCTCTTCCAACTCATCCTTGTCGTAGGTAAGTCCCTAATGCCCTGGTAACTTCCGCAAGTTGAACTCCGATTGCATCTAGCCTCCCGTTTATGGTCATAATTTCTTCTTCACTAACCCCTACCCTAATAAGAGTCGCTTGAGCTTGAAGATCCGCCTCAACCATGAGGGTATCTTGCTGCATCCTAGTAGCGATTTCCGCGTCAAGCAACCCCCGCATCTCTGTTAGTGCATTCTGATGTTGGGTCAGCTGAGTCTCTAGTCTTCCTGCTCTCCAGGCTAGATGAGTTGTGTTATTTTCACCTTCTTTGATTTCCCTTGCCGATACCCTAGCCTGCTTCTCCAATTTCAAGACATGGTCGAACAATCCACTTAAAGATCCAACGTGATCATTGGGCAGGGGACGCACTCCCGAGCCTTGCCCGTCTTCATATCGGGTGGTGATTTCTCTCCCGAAATTCTTTCTTCCGTAAATGCGTTCAACCAGGATGGATTTCTTAGGTTCTTCCTCATGCTCTCAGACAGTGCGTGACCATGTTTCTGGATTCCTTTGTGGTTGAGGGTGCTTTTCCTGGCAGTTTGACGGGTTTTTCTAACACCTCTTAGAATACCCCTGTAAGGGCTTGGAGGGGAGGGCCTGGAGGTAGGGGTCCTTTCGGCCTCCATGGGTTCTTCATCCTCTGTGTCAGATTTTTCTTCTTCTATTGCCTCTTCTTCCAATGGGTCTTCCATTGGTTCTTCGTCTTCTGTAGAGTTTCCTGATGCGACGAATTGATATTTTGTTTCTTGATCGGGATAGTAGGGGTCCCCGACCAGATGGGGGGGTGAGCATGGGACTCCTTCCTTGTTTCTCCAGGTATTCATCTATACAATAGAAATAGAGTTGTTAATATTTAATTGTTTATTCATGTAATTTGTTACCGACACCCATATCTTTCCTTATGACACACAATCTCCAAAATTTTAATGTATCAACCACTATGCCTAAGTTAAATGGTGCATTTGACCGGTCCATAATAAAACTTAGGTGCGCGAGCTAGGTTTAGTTGTGGCACGACATATATACCATAAAACTTTAGCGAAGTTTTTGATATAAAATTTTAGGTTTTTAAGTTCCTTTTATTGATTGTTTTAGGTAATTATTCTCATTTTAACTACTATAATACTCAGGTATTTACATGTTTAGTAAATTAACTCTTTATTAGAGAAATCATGCCCTAGGCTATAGTTGTATATCTTAATGTGAAATACTAGTTCGCTATAGCTAAAGCTCTGATACCAATCTGTCACACCCCCAGCCAATGGCGGAAACACCGGGTGGGTGACGAAATTCAAATATCACAAACATAGCATATATCAAACATTAAACAACCACATAAAGTTTTACATCGCATACGACATAATCATATCTTACTTTGTTACATGTTTCATGACAAATCTTCAACGATTCAAAAAGAGGACATAAAACATAATTTAGAACAAAAATATAAGACGATGATTCCATACTCCTCGCGTGAATTTCTTGCTTTAATTTCCTGAGAATACATGTTAAAATACGTCAACAATAATGTTGGTGAGTCCTACAGGTTTTGACTCCATATATTCTTAAAATAACAAAAGGTCTCCATAAAAAAATAATTTAATGTTGAGATAGAAATCTTTGCCCCTTTCAAAAGATAATTTGTCAATTCACCAAAATTATTATTTTACTGTTGCATGTGTTGAAACAACTTAGTAGAAATCTCTCTTTGTCAATTTCCATATGATAATTATATTGTCGGTGGTCGTTTTTATTGATTTAAGAACGAAGGAATATTAGATGATGTCATAACCGAACTCTTGACACTAAACTTTATTTTGCACCGACACCATGATAGGGCGCGCATGCTAAAGTCATTCACCTCGTAATAACGCGGGTAATGTTCGATAATGCTAACGCCAACGCCAAAATTCATCTCGTCAGACGTAGTTGTAGCTAGCAACTCCAGGCGGGCGGTCGTACCGTATAAGATCAATGTTATGACACTTATACCTAGCGTTAGTCGTTCCCTCAGGATTAACGGTTATTTGACGGAAGGTCTCTACTAAGTATTGTGAACTTAGCCCTTGTGAAACCGGATATGAATACTCGAACTGATTGGGTTCGGTATTGGGAATAGGTATGATGAACCTATTTGGAATGGGTATAATAAACCCTCAAGAATAGGTATAATGAACATATGCGGAATGGGTATGATGAACCCACAAAGAATAGGTATAATGAACCTATGCAAAATGGGTATAATAAACCCACAAACGATAGGTATAATGAACCTATGTTGTTCATTCTAAATTCACTAGAAACACAAAGTTATTCGCCGTTTAAGAAAACGATACTCGGAATTCTTAAAACTACAAGAATTTATTATTCCAGGTACGAATTTGATATCGTGTTAACATAATAGTTAATTTTGTTTTTATTTATCTAAGTTTGGATCGACCGGGAACCTACATTCCCCATCTTTTATATAACCCATGCGAGGTTATTTTTAATACGTTCAAATTTTGGAATAATGATAAAGTCTTTAAATGTAAGACTCGATAAGTATTTATTTCTAACGACTTTTATACCAACTTTTATACGTAACCAAACCACATTAACCTTTAATATACTAGGGTTAACTCCATAATTTACTAAAACTGATGTCTATATATAATTATTCACTTAAGTTTATATCATGTTAAGTTTAACATGATTATTGTTTTAATACGATCCAAAGTCCTTAATAGTTATTACACATATTAGAAATTCTAATGTATTAATATAATATAACTATGACCATTTAATCCTCCAGGTGTATTTTTAAGTTTATTTCCTTTTCATATATATATATATATATATATATATATATATATATATATATATATATATATATATATATATATATATATATATATGCTTTTGTATAAGTATTTATATCGCTTTAGTTATCATAAATTTTCAGAAAAAGCTACACGGAATATTTATATATATGTATTTACATTTCCTGCACTTGTTTATAACCATGGTTTCAAAACTCAATGCCATATTAATTCGTCAACTCTCTTCATACGTATTCATACACCATCTATAGCAATTTATATAATCCAAAATCGTTTGTTTAAGTCCATTTTGGTTATCAAATATTGACCAATAAAACATGTATTCTCCCCCAAACAATGAAATCAGAAATGAGGGGCCATAGAACTCACGTTGATTTTGAGAGTCGGAAGTGTCGGGAAGCTCCTGTTCTAAGCAGGATTTGGAACGGGAATCTTGGAGTCGACCTAGACGTCACATGGCAGAAAAATAATGGAATCAGGAATTTTACACACTTGACTAAAACCAAACCCGCCAACGGGATCGTCCGGTTAGAACTATTCAGGCCACCGGCCACCATGGCAGGTGCCTAATGTTCACGGTGGTTGCTGGACGAATTTTGATCAGAGAAGGTAAGGAATTTACCTGAGGTCGATGGAGGAGCAAGGAAAAGATGTGCGGAAGCTGTTTGATAGTCGAACAAATGAAGGCAGGAGGGGAAAATGGAAGTAGTCGCTGCTTCTTTTTCACTGGTAAGCTGCGGCTACAGGCCTGTTTATGGTCAGGGGTTTGCTTCAACTGGAATCGGTGGTGATCAGGGAGCTTTTGAGTTGGTTTTCCATTGGAGAAAGAGAAGGTACAAGGAACTGGGTTTGAGATGGGGAAAACAATTCTAATAGCTGTTGAATCTCTTCTCTGTTTATAGGAGAAGATATGGAAGTAAGAGGTATGGGCAGGTGATAGAAAATGAGTGGGGCCTTCAAATAGGAATGAGATATTATGAAGCTTCTCTACATCTCTTTTACAGCTGTGGATTTTGGCAGAGATTGAATTGTACAATCGAGATTCATGAAGGATATGCACATGTGCTGAATTGTGTGTGTAGTTTAGGGCAATCGTGAGAGGGAAGGAAGATGAGTGAGGTGGTGGATGAGAAACTGTATCGTCCTTGAGATATTTGATTGGGTTTCTTCACATGGCTCATTGTACTAATGCAGATTATAGAAGATATTGAAGTACTTGACACAGTTCTCATAGATATTGAGTACATGTTGTATCTGTGAGCTTGTAGTTGATAGAGAGATGGAGGGATAAGAGGGTAGAGGGTGACGAATTGTAGTAGTACTAGGGGATCATCTTCCTGATTTTTAAGACTTATAATATTGGTATGGGCCATATAATCCAATGGAAATTTAATAAAGATTTGCTCCATTCTTGCGCAAGATATTTGTATGTGTATTTTTATATTGTGTGTGATAGCCATCAACAAGAGGGGTGTGAGTGGGTATAATCTGCTATATCAATTTCTTGCACTAATTGTTGCAGAATAACTTCATGAACTATTTGTTTTATTGTATGTATATACATTTGAGAATAAGTTTATGTCACTTGGTATCAAGTATATATACGTATAATATATACTCATCATTTTATGATATACATAAATGTATAAATACGGAAGTTAAGTATTTTTTGTATGTTAGCTAAAAATTCAACTTATATATATTTTATATTGGACATAGTAAATCATATATACATGCCATGTTCATATTACGTTAATTTCATGCACTCATTGCTACACATCGCATAAATTTATTTTTCATATGTTTATAATCGATTAACTGTTATAATATCTTTTAAATATGTTAAATACATAATGACGAAACATAAATTTGGTTTGGTTCTAGCAGCGTCACACGAATTTATCGACCACTTTTGATCTAAATTTTACGGTTGTTACACTTTACGTCTATGCATGGGTTATTTAACTCAAAAGCCCTAAAAAGTGGTTCACAAGTTGCATGGGACTCCCATGTCCATAAAGTTGGCATATTTATGCCATGGAGTCCCTCAAAAGCCCTGGATCTGAAGTAATGGCTCCAAAACATTCTTTCATCCATGAATGGTCCCAAAATAGGCTCCTTAAAGCCCTAAACTACTTCATAAGGAGATCTAGTAAATGAATAGACAAGGTATAGACTTTATACCTCAATAAGGATGCTTTGACCACGAAATCTCTAGATCCAAGGCTTCTTCCTTCAACCAAGCACTTCTAGCTTCCACTCCTTCAAATAAATACCAAAGAATCACTCCTTTTTCACTCACACGGCTCAAGATCACGAATTAGGGTTTTGCTGGACCGAGGAAGGCGATGAGGGAGGCTATAATGGAGTGTTAATGTCCTTAAATAGGGTGCAAACCCAGAAAATTAGGGTTTCACTCTGACAGCCCTACTCGTCGAGTCGAGGCTTCTCGACTTGTCGAGTAGACTTCAAGTCCCGCGTCCCAAAAATCCGTTTCTACTCGACGAGTTTGGGGCCTCCAACTTGTCAAGTCCCTTTGCAAAAATGAATAATTCTTATTAAAATACATACCAGGAACCGGGGTTACACTTTACGATTGGAATTTACGATTAATGGTCATGGATTTTATTATTAAAATGAAAATTTTTATTTGAAAATTTGGTCGTTACAGATGGCCGAATTCCGATTGTCAAATTTTATGGTGATCCTCCGGTGGTGGCTGGTGGTCAACGGAAATACACACAATCAGGAAAAAAAAAACTGAAAAACCCATCAAATTCTTACTTGCTGTGGCGGTGAAGGAGAAAAGCTGGAAGGAGGGTGGAGTCGTCGGTAGGGAGGGCTGAAGGTGGTGGAAGACGAACGATGGTGAAGCAAAACCGGTGAAAAGCTATAAACACAAAAAAAACCCTAAATTCAGGGTAAAAACATTGATCACATAGCAATAAAGAAAAATTTTGGAGCAGAAAAGAGGTTACCTAGTGCTAATCGCCGGTTATGGTTGCCAGATTGTGATTTTCATGAGAGAGAAAAGAGTTTATGGGTCACTGTGTGCAAATGAACGACTAACTATGCTCTGTTAGGGTAAACCCCTATGCCGACGACATGTCATCAGTATAGGGTCTACATAAACGATGGCGTATCACTTTTTCCTAAAACAAAAAAAAAATCTATGTCAACGACATATCGTCGGGATAGACATTTCACGCAGATCGCCACGTGGCATACCGACGACATGTCGTTGGTATAGCTTCCATAAAATTACATTGTTCTGATATTTTGGACCATGGAATAAAAATAAATGAAAAATATATTTTTCGATATATATCCCGACGACATGTCATCGATATAGATTTTTAGAATACCGCGAATAATTTGGTTGTTCCCGCCAGACTTGTAGCGACGACATGTCGTTGGCATGGATATCCTGATCAAAGGAATTTGGTCAAAGTTGGCAAAAGGTATGGCAACGACACATCGTCGGCATAGTTAGACTTGTAGCGATGACTTGCTTCGTCGGAATAGGTGTCGTCACAATAGCTCTGAATTCTTGTAGTGTTAACTCTTTCCTTCCTTTTTCTATCCAAATTCACCCTTAAGTTAGTTTAATTTTTATTTATATTATATTAATTAATAAAATGGAGCCATATTACCTTTAGGTCGCCATTAGTATGCATGCACCACATTCCTTCCTCCTACTAATATATTTAGATATTCACCAAAGATCTACCACATAAGTTCTTCTTCGATATCAATGCTTGGTTGAGCGTTTAAACACCTCCCGCTCAAACGACAGATGCATATTAATCAAACGAGCTAGATTTATAATTATCTTGATATTTATTTGGTAGATTTCAGTCCCATTAATATTTGAAATCCTTGTATATATACCGCTATATTGGAATACAAAGGATACACAATTTAATACTAAATTTCAAATATATTTAGGTCGTACAAAAGTAATGGGGAACAAAGTTATTTCTTTTTAAAAGTACGTCATGTCTATTACCATATAATCTTGTATGGTACATTGGTACTAGTTCATTCCCATGAAATTTATATCAAACAAAGGAAAATTCTACTAATGTGTTTAAACATGTTTTAGATGGAAAAATAACCATCACATGTTTATTTTTTTTAGCAACTAGCAATACTGAATTCCATATGCCAATACATAATTCCACTGACTTTAAATCCTCCACCATTTGGCTTTTTCATATATGGAATATTAAGAAATGTTGGTTTTATGCATGGCCTTGGGGTTTGATAAGAACTAATTGTCGGAGGTGTCTGTCGATCTTCTACCTCTGTCTGCCTTTATTATCACCATCACCTGATCTACTTGTTTGTATCCCTGTCTTCCTGGAATCCAGTTTACTTCCTTCCTCTACTATCTGGGATCCCATTCCCACAACCTTTGTCCTCCTTGACTTGTGCTTCGATTCTGGTTCAGATTTTTGTCTTGTGCTATCAGGAGTCTTACTTCTTATAGCATCACTGGAGCCTAATTGTAAACTTTTCAAGTGATCCTCAGAATTTGTTTTTCGTCTGTCATATTGTTGAGTTTTGGATTGTGTTTGATCAGAATGTTGAAAATCTTGTCTTGTTGTTGCCTTGCTGCCACTTCTCTCTTGCTCAAAGAAGAGGACTTGCATCACCGTTCTCACTGGAAGTCTTTCGTTTTTCACAACGTGAGCACAAGCTCCTGGGGACAGTTTTTGACAGTCTATAATACTACAGAGCTGCTTCTTCTCTTCCTTGCTCGTTTGAGGATGTTCCTGTATATATGTTCATCATCATTCAAAATTATCTAGTCAAGAAACACAAGAGGTTATATATGGATTCTTTTTTCTATTAATACCTGTAGATAGATGTCGATTGCTTTATACAGATTGTCATGCTCAGGGCGAGCAAATTCAGGTAAAGCTTTTGCAAGCGACAGTACTTTCTGTACTGGCATATTCACATCCCTTGCAACTATTTGAAGATAAGAATCGATAAGTTCTCCAACTTTTATAATCAAATCTTGTCTAGAATATGATTTTCGTCTCCATCGCATGATAAAACTCTCTACAACAGCTTTAACCAAGTCAATATCATGGATGTGATTATTATTATTATCATCAGAAGATCCGGATGAAAGTAACAACAGATCGCTTGGTGTCGCATCCTCTAATTGCAAACTGGATTGCTTAATAAGTTGCGCCTTGATCACTGGTGATGCCTTTAAAATACTTGCTAAATTAAGGAGTTTCAACAGAAATCCAACCGAAACAGATCCTCTATCTTCTGGAATCATGCTAATGATAGTCTCAAGTAGTCTTTTTTTGCTTGAACATTCTATTGAGGTTTCAGGGTCGGGTGTACTCCTTGTAAGCCAAAGTGATGCATAAACATGCAAAGATTCACCAATAAGTTGTGGTGGCAACATGTTAGTTAACTTCACCGTATTAAGTACGCATCTGAATAAGTCTATATCAAGATTTGCTATATCTTCTGTCCACCAATCTTTAGGTGCCGAGTGATGATGCTTCTTTCTCGCATACCCATCTCTCGTGTAAGTGTATGACCATCTAACCTTAGTGGGTGGAGTGAGTATTTTCTCGACAATAGAATCCATGCATTTTCTGATAATCCCAAGATTTTCAGACCATTCAGGCAGCTTTCCAGTTGTTTGCAGTGTAACAATTGAATCTTTCCACCCTTCAAGGATGCATGAATGGAAAAACATCTCAAGCTTTGAAACAAAGTTTCCTTTCTCAATAGATTCTGTCATCTGCAGGAACTTAGCAGCGCATATTGCTGACACAAAGTTATGGGCACTGAGATCAATAGTGATCCCATAGCAAAACTTAGCGCACAGCTCAAAAGCATCTTCACCTCCAGGGATATCATGAAGCTCCAGTGTCATTCTGCTGGAATCCCCCCTATTAGAGCAAAGTCTCTGTAAGAGGCCGCACTTTGGAACAAGTGGAAACTGCAACTAGGGATACAACAATATTCCATGTAATTTTCTGTTATATTATAAAAAGACTACTAAACTAGCTACTGATGTATACATAAATATGCATTTAATTAATAGATCGTACCTTATGGAGAAGATAGGTGATGTTGTTGACACGTATGGTTAGATCACTTGGTAAGTCTGAAACTACAGTCCTGCAGTTTGTTAAACATCAGATACTTGAAGAACAATAATATTAGAGTATAGTCATGTATATTGAATGGTGCTGCTAAATAATACCTGATAGCTTCTTCTGTATAAAAGTTGTCTGGCCTTGTCCCAAGTCGCATAAACTTCATCTTTGCTCTTGATATTTCTGTATATATATATATATTATAGATATAGATATAGATCAGTATAAGCTAGTAGCTCTTGATCAGGGTTCTGGTTAAATGATAAATTATATAAAAAGTCAGTCTAGCATATATATATATATATATATATATATATATATATATATATATATATATATATATATATATATATATTTATCCAGCTGAGATTCCAAAGTGACAACTGGCTAATAATGAACATGAAAACATGTAATCATCAGTTTGATTTACAGCTTCTTTTCTTTTTGGAAATATGAAAGAATGATGTTCACCTGGAAAAAAAAAAAACTTAATTAAGGGTATAACTGGTTGGTTGCAATCAAGAAGCAAACTTTTATGGTCCGAAAGGCTGCAAATTTAGTCATCCACGGAAGCTCCAATAAACAAACGTACAGTAGTGCTGGCATCAACCACTTTGAGGAATTGTTTATATATATATGAACTACTCAGCTTTATCTTCACCTTTTACAAGGAGTTGTGGCCACTAAGCCATACACGCAGAAAATTGTAGCTGATGATGCATTCATGAGAGATTTCTGCATGTAATGATGACCATAAAAACAGGAGCTTGCATTGATTGTTGTTAGTGGTCGTCTATTGATACATAAATATTGGAAGTTGAATCAATATCTCACCTCCGTTGATAGAAAGGAATGGTTTTAGTCAACGAATAATGTAAGAAAAGAGAGAGTGTATGTTTGACAGAGACATGAAAGTGGGGAAAAGAGAGGTGAGAGAAATTAGAAGATTATCAAAAGGAAGCAAGAAAAGATTTTTTCTATTCAATCCTCATCATGATTTCTCCCACTAGCTTTCTTCATATTGACATGAAAATATATATCACTCATTAGTCATGCCCCTTGAAGGATTTTATTGGTTGGATGTCGGCCACCTGTCTGCTAGCTCTTCACACCGTTAGATGCATATATAATTTTATTCGTTCTATCAGCCAACAGAAAAGATGTCGATCGAGGATGGGATTGGTCTGTTGGTAATTACTTATGAATGGAATATAAAACTCTTTTGGAGACAGACTTGCCCAACATTTCGATCCACATGCATGCATGCATGCTCTTCTCTGCTCTACCATTCATTTTAAATCTGTTTGCTAGTCAATTTGTTTAAATCTTTTCATTGCGATTATGAACGGGTGATATATAATTAGATCAAAGTTATAGCTTTGTAAATCCAGGATTCCTTTTTGTTATCTCAAATGCCTTTCCTTTTAATTAGTCCATTAAAGTAGGGAAGAGAGTATTAAAAAAAGTTAAAGAGAATTTTCATGAGGTGGCATGGAAGATGATCGTCATGATGATGGTAATGATCATCATATAATCAAGTCATAACTTTGTTATTATTACAGCCTGCATGCCTAGCTAAACACATTTGGTTTCCTATAAACTTGACTTGTCATTATTGGTGTTAAGTGAATATTTTCAGGCCATCATATTTGAACTAAAAAAAATGCAATACTATTAATATTATAAACTAGTTTATAACATGTGGAAACCCTGGTTATAAAATTTATTAAATTTTTATAGTAAAAATTTAAAATTATTAATCAATTATTTTAAATAAATTAGTAGTTAAAAGATTTTTTTTAGTTATATAGAATTATAATCATTGATTTAAATAAATATGTGAAATATATCATTTTATAATTTGTATTAATTTTTATTCTATTATTATTAATTTAACTTAATTATGGTGAAAAGTTCAAATTTTGAAATTTAAAACGAAGAATCATTGTGTAGACAAGTGGCATGCATTAATTAGAAGGAATAATAGGATCACATATGACAAAAAAAGAAATAAAATATACATTAATTAGAAAGTTAATAAGATGATATATATCAAATGGAAAATAAAACTATTCTTTTATTCTTTTATTAGAATAGAATAGAATATATATATATATATATATATATATATATATATATATATATATATATATATATATAATATCAAATGGAAAATAAAACTATTCTTTTATTAGAATAGAATATATATATATATATATAGCACTTCTCCCATATTATTGTCCATTGATGACTCTCTAGCTTCACATGGCGAATATCTTTTGTTCAAAAATAGCATCTTGTTAAGGTATATAAATGTTTTTGGGGTTTTAAGTATAAATTTGAATGTAAGAAAAAAATCAAATAATTAAAATAGAAATAAAATAAATCAAAGTAAACAATTAAATAAGATATTAAAATTAAATAAATAAATAAAATTTTGAAAGTAAAATAATTTATTACACATAAATTGGAGGATTAATATTGGTGAAAATTAATAATATATCATGAAGGACTAAAACTGTTAATGTTGAAAAAACTAGCCTTTGGCCTTAGTTGACTTATGGGTTATTTGTTTTTATTGTTTACAAGTCTACGTGACTTCTTCTATCTGCACTGCACAATCTACATCCCTTCACCACCAGTCTTCTTCAGCCTCTTGTCTCCTCTTCGTGCCACAACAGTCAAGGCTAGGCGTACTCCCTAGAACCACCATATTTTCCCCTAAAAACGAAAATATGTTTGCTTCTCGTGTTCCTGTTTTTTTACTTGTTCTAATATGAAGTTAAAGGTTATTGTTGCTGAAAAACTCTCTATTTTACTAAAATTTGGTGTTTAGTCTTGCTAAAAATACTCCTTATTGCTTAAACTTGTTGTTGAATGTATCATTAGTAAATCCAAAAACATTGTTGAAAATAATATTTCTTGCCTAAATTTCTTGTTGAATGTTGCTGAAAATCAATATTTATTGATGTATCTTGATGGAAATCCCATAACATTGTTGAAGTCAAGCTTTTTCTTGATGAAAATAATAAAATAATGTGCTGAAAATATGAACAGCGGCGGACCTAGTAGGTGTCCTGGTGTGGCACCAGCAACACCTATTTTTTCTGTCCGCAGTGATTTTTTTTTTCGATTTTTTGATTTTTTATCTATTTTTTCTATATCGGCAACAACTATTTCAATCTTAGCAACACCTATTACGTATTTTTGCATCCGTCCTTGAATATGAACTAATGATGTTTATGTGTGTTGTTGTTGTTGTTTTTTGCTAAAATGTCTTTTTTTATGTTTATGATATGAAATCAAGTTATGCTTGCTTCAAAATCTAAAATTCTTATTAGAAACTTGATTTGTATGTTTTGTCAAATCTTATAAGGTTATGCTTGCTTTAAAATCTGATTTGTATATGTCTTTTTGGTTATTAGAAATGGCAGAGAAACAAAAATGGTCAAATGACCATCTAAAATGCTTATTGAGAAGTAAAATATATGGGTAGAAAAGGATTGAGTTTGTACAAAGATTTATGGATCAAGTTAGGAAGAGTTTTTAAGAAAAAGTTTAGCATGAATTTGACTAAAAAACAAATGAAAAACGCATATGACAATCTGAAAGCCAAACACATAGGATGACTATATTTGAAAAACCAAACTGGAAATATGTAACACCCTTATTCCTGGTATGTACTTTAATTTGGTTTTATTTTGCTTCTCCGTTGAAATCTAAAAACTGAGAATCTGGAATTTATTGTAAAAGACGCGGGGCACATTTTAATAGGCTTGTCACGCCTTGGCCCATGGGTTGAACGACTTTTTAGGGTTTAACATGCTATTTAAGTATCATAAACCCCAAAAGTTTTACCATTCTTAGCCTCCATAACCCTTTGAGCGATTTCTCAGAAACCCTAACACCTCTCTCTCTCTCTCTCTCTCACACACACACACACATTTCTGAGCTTGTAGTTGATTTATGAACTCATTTTCCCATTCTTGAGTGAAGCTTGAAGATCAAGAAGTTCTCCTAGTATCTTTGAAGGAAGGTTCAAGCTTGGATCCAACAAAATTACTTCATTGTTTGACCTTTGTGAGTATAAAGTTTCTAACTTGCTCTTTGGATTACTAGATCTTGTTATTGGTCATATTTGTCCCTTTTGGTCCATTTCTTTTATGACTTTGGAGTTGAGATAACTCCAACTACTTTTGAGCACCTAGGAATGCTCAATGGACCTTTTGGACTTAGAAAGTTGATACTTTGTACATATCCTTTAAGCCATGCAACTTGGTTGGTCCTTTAAGTCATTTTGTACTAATAAAGTTTAGATCTTGCTTGAAGGGGATGTCTTAATGGATAAATTTGGAAACTTTATCCATCAATACATTATTAAGGATCGGATCTGGAAGTTTGAGCTTTGACTTAATGGAATAAGTCCAAAATCCATTCAGAAGAGGGTAAGGATGTGACACGTCTTTCCCATGCACGACACATTTTTGGAAGTTTCCTAGAATGCATAGTGTAGAAGGTGTCATGCAAGAAAACATTAGTGTATATTATATTTGATTGTGTATTAATAAGCTACAATGGTCCTTATACATAAATATAGATATTGCACATAAGTACCCTTTTATAAATATAGATATCGCATATAAGTACCTTTTTAGACATGTGATAATTAAAACTATCACATATAAAGTAATATGCCACCACATGCAAAGGATGTTGAAAGACCAATAATAAATTGTATTATATAAATTGTACACAAAGAATTTCCTTAACAACTTTTTCCTTAATAAAGAGAAAACCAACTTCTACGTGCTTTGTACGAGCGTGTAAAACATGATTAGTAGAAATGTGGGTGGTCACACCATAAAATAGGAGTTTAAGGTGTATGTGCGAGAAGTTCACAAAGAAGAGCTTGGGGCTAAGTAAGTTTGGCTACTATGTCAACAAAAACTTTGTACTTGGACTTTGTAGAAGATTGAGAAGATGGGTGTTGCTTACGAGGTTGGAGCCTAAGCAAATAGTTATTAGAGAAAAGACAATTTCTTGAATAGCTTAGAACAAGCATGTATATAAACACTTATTCATGCACCTTTCAATATTCATAATATAATGTTGCTTAGATAAATCATTCAACATATATTTACAAATATAACATAATATTTATTTATAAATATCATGCATGCAATTACATGTCTACATATAACATGCTTTTTATTCATAAATTTCATGTATGCAAAGGTTCAAGATCGTCTAAACTTGGAAAGAGGCATTCTAGGATGACATAGAGTTCTATCTCTAGGGCCATCATGAACGATCATGTAATCCATTGTAAGCAATAAATGCTTTCAACTTTGAACCTTCAACAAACTAAATTTCAGAATAACTATTACATTTTGGGTCTAATAATTCTATAATCATGATTGCAATTACATTTCAAAATCTGTGATTTCGACCTTATAGTTTGGTTGGGGAATCATAAAATCTGATTTTTAATAATCCAAGAATGACAATTTTGAAGTCATACCACTTCCAAATTCGAAACACAGAAGTACCTTGTTGTTTTGCATTCTTAAGGGATAAATAGGTTCACATAATCAATTTTGGGTATCAAAAGTGTTAACCCTTTCCATGGAATATCCATCCTCCATTTATAAGAGGAAGATGGCGATTGGAAGTTGGTTATATACAAAATGTCGTCAAAATGGGTGGTTACAATGGTGGTTATAGGACCGATTCTTGCATCACCAATCACAACCAACTCTAGGGGCTCTGCACTTGGACCGTAAGGGTCGCTGCCCCTTGGAAACCTGTACCACCAAGAGGCAGCGCCTCTGGACCCCCGGATTCCTAAGTTCACATTTATCACTCCGAGTGTGAACCGCCCACCTCCAGTCTCGGTGAGTAAATAGAACTCAACATATCTCAAAATTAATAATAACTACACTAAAATATATTGATAACACTAAAATCACAAACAATAACTATCGATATTTTGAAAAAGCATGAACACAATAAGCAAGTAAGAAAATAATGACCACGCATTGTTTGAGCTACCAAACGTCTATCTTTTTTCATTTCATCTCAACAAGAAAGATTCAAACCCACATCCAAGGGTAGTAATCAAATTCCAGGTCCAGTACAAAAATAATAATGGAGTACATTAAAACACAAACATCAATTCACAATAGGGCTAAATACCTGTGTTTTTTGTAAAACAGATTGTAACCATCCAAAAGCTTCATCTACTTATCTTAGCTACCCGAACAGATCATCATCACTATCATCATTTCCAATATTACCCTTTACAGTTACAGCACCGGGAGCAGGAGCCTTATTTTCATCATCTTTGATTCCAGAAGAATATGCCCAGGAAGAACCCACTTTGCTAGAGAGTGATTCTCCATAAAGATCATCATAAATTCCACCTTTTGAAGGAGCTTTAACTTTATTCAAGACTTCTTGTAATTTATCAGTAACACCTTTTGAGGAAACATTAACACTAACTTCTTTTATGGATAAAGATTCCTTCCCTTTAGGTATTATTGTTGTTTGTACAAGCGATTCATACTTCCCAACAAGACTGCTACCTTCTTTCACACCCATTGGACCTGGCTCTGTTTCTACATGTACACCATCAGACACACCCACAACTTCAACAAGCTCACCCCCAACTTGATCTCTAAATGACACTTTTGCCCTTTTGGTTCTCTTGACAGGTCTTTCTGTTTCTGTTTCTTGTTTGACAGATGTAGATACTACTTCAGATTTAGACAGGTTGTAACGGTTTACAAATGTGTTGTAAGCTAATACAGCTTCTTCATCGGAAGGATCAGGGGGTGGGGGGAGGGTAACTTCTGTTGGTAATGGAGGAGGGAAAAGGGCTTTGTTGTCTTTTTTCAATATATAAACCCTAGTTGAAGCAGCAAAGCGTAAAGATTGTCCCACTTCGAGTTCAACAGGAGATTCTTTTGTCAATCGTTCATTTGCAACAAATGTGCCATGTGCAGATCCTAGATCAATTACATACACACTTCCATTTTTATGAGGGACAACAGCAGCATGTTGGCGGGAGACTGATTGATGATCAAGAACAAAATCACATGTGTGAAGCTGTCTCCCAAAAATGTGTCTTCTTTTATCAAGATTTATCCTGTCAAGAACTTCACCATCTTTTAAAACATCAAGGTAGTAAACACCAGGGCGAGGTTCAATAGCCCAATCGGGAGGCTGCCAGGTGGACTGTCCACCTCCAACTTGTGTTACGTGCTGTGGAGTGGTGGAAATCTGCTCTGCATCATTGTTTGCAGGTTTTTGAGAAACTTGTTGGTGATTTTGGTACTGGGTTTGGTGATTGGGAAGATCAGAATGGGAATGTAATTTTGTAGTTGTTGGTATATGTGTTGAATTTGCTACAGAAAAGGGTTGTAAGGTTTGTGCCTTTTTGAAACGTTCAAGACCTGTTCTGCCATACATGGCTTTCTTTGAACTTCTGGAACAAATTTCTTGGAAAGAGAACAGGAGTTTATCTGTTAAGTAGCTCTGAGGAGGATTCCTTTCCACTTCCAATGAACAATCTATGTTGAAATAGAAAACTATCCATTAGATCAACAGCAAAGAAGGAATGGAACTGGATTTCCTATGGTTATGGAGTCAGAATTGAAACAGAATCGGTTCAATGTTTTAAATTATATGAGCTGGAGAGCTTCAACCCCGGTTCCATACATCAAATTCCATAAAACTCTAGTTAAGTTTAATTAACAGATTATCAATTAGATAGAATTAAAAAAAAAAGGGGATATATCGTATTGTCTTGCATTTATGTTATGAAGCTTTGCTACCGTTGGATAAATCAATAAATTGCAAGGGTTCCAATCAGGAGCAAAAGTAAGATAGAAGATTTCCATATGAAGCTTTGACCAGGGTCCGTAGAATAAGATGATATCAAATTGAATCCAGATAAAGCGATATGATTTAAGGTTTAGAAAACCTAATGGAGAAGGACAAGCAGCTTTGAAGTTACCTGCGAATTTGGAGACACGCGTGAAAGGTTTGCATTCATACACAGATTTAAGGTATCATCAGGAGCGATTTCTGGTACAACTAATGATTGATTATCGAAAATCCTTGGGAGATTGTAGTCTGTGAGGAATGGAGTGAGAGAAAAAAGGGGTTTCGATTATTGAAAACCCACGGGAGATTGTAACCCGGTCTTTCTAACGGAATACCCACAACCCACACTCCACATGCACAAAGCAACCCGCAACCCGTATGTTTGTTTCGGTAAGGAAATTAGGAAACCCTTTTACATTAGAGTTGTTGACTAAAACGACTATTAATGAAATCGTATATTAACAAAAACCACATTATTTTGATATTAAAAAATAGGAAGATATAATTACACGAAATTAGGAAATGTATAAAAAGACTCGTCAAGAGGAAGCAAATCATTATTAGATATTAGATAATAGAAAGATGAATTTCTACCCATGTTGTAGCTTTTCTGAGTAAATGTATGCAAAAAAAATCATGTTTTTTTTCTTTTATATATATTATGTGTAAAACTCATCTATTACATGGGGTTAATTAAAAAAAATAAAATATCAAAATATAATAATTAGTAATTTTTAAAATAAAAAATGAAAAAACATATTAATTGTAATTTAGTATAATATTTATTATATTTGATACTTTATATTTATATATATATATATATATATATATATATATATATATATATATATATATATATATAAGTATTATGTGACTTGTTAATTTTAAAAGTTGAATAAAAACATAAATTGAAGATATGAATATTATTTATTTAAAAAACATCACAAAATGATAAGTATCAAAACTCATTAGAGATTGACATGTGTCAAAATTATCTTCATTTAGTGTGTGTGTGTGTATATATATATATATATATATATATATATATATATATATATATATATATATATATATATATATGATTCACGAACTAAGTACCGCTTTAACGAAGATATACTTTTAATAGTTTTAGGTATCTTCTACTTACACAATGGGTGTATTTTCTTGATATTGTATGTGAAAATGTAATATATTTAAAACTATATGATTTGTGAATAAGATCTGGTTTATGAATATTTGATTTCGAGAACTCTTGTTAGGAGAGTGGAGACGTTTACTTTAGAGTGTGTGATGAAGAGAGGTCAGCTGAGAATGAAAAAGGAATACAACATGAAATTGCGCTTGAAGGAGTCAATGGACATAACCTCAAATAGAAAAATATAGAGGCTTTGAATAAGAGTAAAAAAGTAATAGTGGTCATTTAGTCTAGTTTCTAGCTTTTTTATTGTTAGTTTTTGTCGACCAATTTCACCTAGTATCCTAGTTTCAGTATTTACTTAAAGCGTGTACAACTAGTATTTGCTTTCAACTTACTTCTTATATCTTCTTCCACAACTTACATATATATATTCATATTTTTAATGGTTGATCCCTTCCCCTATTCATGTGTAAATTTTCCTTTTAGAATAGTGGTCTCTCTTCATACAAACAAATGCAACTTTATTATTTAGAATAGTGGTCTCTCTATGTGGTCATTTTTTTCGGATTTTTTAAAATTTTTGCTAGAAAAAGTCTTCTACATAAAATTACAATTCAAGTAACCAATTGGTCAATGTAATAATCATTTAAATTTCTTATAATTCTAGATCAAATTTTTTACCCCAAATTATACACTTCATTTCTGATCTTTTTCCTTTTGGCCCTTCTCTTTTTCTTTTATTTCCAATTAATCTACTAACTGACATAAAACAATTTGAATTAATAGACATTCCTTTTTACTTAAACCATTTCTTAGTTGAGATTGATATAAAGCTCTAGTGTATGACGACTGCACAAAGTATCTTTTTTCATTTTCCAAGTATATTGACATAACATGTACAAATCAACATCCATGCTAATGAAAAAGTTTCTATTTAATAACTAGAACAAATGATGAAATATGATACAAGAAAATCAACGAAGGAAAAGAAGCTTGTTTAATTTTTCTAATCCTAGATTAATTCCAACTCTTTATATATAAGTGGTTTTGGGTCAAATTTATGATCCTTTGGTTTCTTCTCTCCACTTGTTGAGTTCAGTTTCTACTGTCTGCCTTGCTGCATCAGCCACCTCAGCTGTTTTCTCAGCTTTACTAATTTCTTCTTCGATTTCCTTTTGTTCTTCCATGCTTTTCTCCAGCTTTTCAAGGATTCCTCTCTCATTTTCTTTGATTGTCTCCACCTCAGCCATTATAGTTTCCACTTTCGTATCAGCCTCAATTATTGCTTCCTCAGATTTTTTATTCAAAGCTTCAAAATCCTGAATCGATAACATAATCATGTTATCAGACTTGGAATCAGTTAACTCTTCCGTACAGGATCTTTTGCGTATTTGATCATTCGCAAGCTCCTGTGCTGCTTTCGCTTCTTCAACCTCTCTTTCTGCAACTTCCAGCTTCGATTCAGCTTCTTTTACCTCCACCTCCGACCATTGAGCATCCCTCCAAAGGTTTTCCACTTGTCTCTTCATTTCCTCTTCTTCCCTTCTCGCCTTCTCAGCTTCCAACAACATTTCACGTATTTTGAGTTCCAATTCGTCTACCTCGTTTGTTGCTTTGGTTTTCTCTGTTATCGCGTCTTTGACTTCAAGTTCGATTTTGTCTAATTCACCTTGCAATTGCTCTCTTTTCATCTCTTCTTCCCGTGACACAGCAATATCCCTCTTCACATCCTCAACTTCCTGTTTCAATGACTCCACCAAATCTCTAAGGGATTTCTCTTCTTCCTTCGTTTCATCAAGTCTCTTTTTTGCATCATCAAGTTCTGAATTTGCATTACTAAGAAGCTCCATATCTACAGCACGTACCTCCTTCAGTTGCTCCTCTAATACGTTAATTGCTCCTGTTGTTTCTTCGAGTCTTTTTTCTATATTCCCTGGATCCTCCTCGGATTCTTTTCTTAGGTTTTGAATCTTTAAATCAGTGTCTTCCTTTGCGTTCTTCTTGGACTCCAAGAGCGTTTCCTTTCCTTCCATAAGATTTGCGTAGTCTTCCTCGGCTTTAGCAGAAGCAAATTTGACGCGTTCAAGTGTTACACTCATGTCAACAACATCCTTTGAGAGCTGTTTTATTTTCTTTCGGTTGATTTGTGTAGCATGTTGAGCTTCAGCAGCTCGTTGAACGGCAGCCAACTTTGCTTCTAATGCAGTATCAAAGTCCCGTTTAAGGTTGTTAAGTTCTTGCTTGGTGGCAATAAGTTCATTGGCAGCGACTTTATACTGGTTTCTTTCGTTCTTGATTGTTTCTTGCCTAGCTTCGTCATCTGCTTGGTTTTCAGTGGATTTTAGTTGTTCAAGTTCATGGGCTCGAATGTTTGCAGCTTCGGTCTCCTGAATTGATGCATGTTTCGATTCGCTTGCTGCTTCTAGTTTGTTGGTTAGCTCCTGCAACGTCTTATTAGCCTTGTCCAGATCCCGAAGCGCTTTCTCTTTTGTTGCTTCTGCAGTTTTGACGTATTCTTTATGCTTGTCGATCTCCTTGAGGATCCAATGCAGTTGTGCCTCCTTCCCTAAAACACTCTTTACAAAGAACAAGACTAATTAATAGAGATAGAGTACGTACCCCATGCATGACATGATCGATCCATTGTTGTATGATGATAAATTATATATTAAAATGATAGGAAATTGATTAATTAATTGTCACCTCCTCTAAATTAGGTCTTGGTTTCTTGATGACAGGTTTGTCGACTTTGGGGGATGCTTCAACAAATAAGGTGACAGCGGCCCTAACGGATTCAAAGGGTGCAGCGGTGTCAATCTCTCCGACTGCTGCTGCTGATGATGACGTGCTTGGCAAGGATGGATCGGTGGACGTCGGTGCTGGAGAAGCAGCCGCATTTTGGCGGTTTTTTGCTTGAAAACCAAACATTATATTTATCTATGTATAATATATATATCCACCTTCATCATCCGCATTACATATTCATCGACAAATCGTGTAACAGAAAAAGAGAAGAGAATTTAGCAAGCATGAAAATGTGGCTAGGGTTTGACACAGACAAAGAAATTAAGATGAATTGAATTGATATTATAATTAAACTTTAATATATATATATATACCTCTGCTTCAATTCGTGTGTTTGTCTCAATGTATATGAATGTGTTGGCTTCCGTGAAGTGTAGGGTAATTGGAAATCATAATACGGGAGAAGATAAGAGACATGATCAAGAATCCTTTTTCCCTTTCCCCCTCTCTGTGTTTGCCAAATGAGGAAGGTGGAACGTTGGAGAATCTGACCGTGAAAAACGAAAAACAAAAGGATGGTGATCAACAATATTGTTGGCCTATTTTTGTGGGATACATAACTCAAAATTTATAACCATCTCATATCCTAAAGATCTGATATTCACATTTGAACTTTGATACTAATAATAAATCGATAACAAAATAATTTTTGAATGGACGAATAAATCTTTAGTAACCAAAATAAAGAACTAATTATCTAAATTTGACTTTAAGTCTACCAGAAATGAATGTAACAGTTATGAATACATAAATATGGACTGAAAAATACAGAGCATAAAAGCGACGAAAAATAATGAAATTCAATGTGTTTTGTCTTATACCGGTGCAATAGTAGATAGACGAAACCTCAGCTTTTTCCATTTCCAGGTTTCAAGTTCCAACAGGACAATCGTCTCCACCGAACTTCTTCTTCCCAACAAACCTTTCTTGATTTGGATTCCACATACCCTCTGCTTCTCATCCATCCTGTTTACGCTCATTTTCCCTTTCCTGTAATTTGATCTTTTTTTGCAGAATTCTCTCTCAATCATGGCTCATACCGATCAAATTAACCCGCGAGGTACCTTTCTTTTCTTGCCATATTCTGCTTCTTAGTTGACAGGAATAGAGAAATTACTTGCTTGCCCTGATGATTCTACTAATTTTAACATTTTTAAAGCTTTTCTGTTCTGAATTTGTACTGAATTTGATCCACGAATAGAGAAATTACTTGCTTGCCCTAATGATTGTATTAATTTTAACATTTTTAAAGCCTTTCTGTTCTGAGTTTGTACTAAATTTGATCCACAGATGTTTGTATTGTGGGTGTTGCACGAACACCTATGGGGGACTTCCTTGGTTCTCTTTCATCTCTCTCCGCAACCAAGCTTGGATCCATAGCCATTGAATGTGAGTTACCAATTACCATATTTCTCTTTACTTATATCCCTTGAGCTTTAAGTGTCACATACCCTAAAATGACCTTCTAACACCACAGGTGCGCTTAAAAGGGCTAACATTGATCCACAACTAGTCCAAGAAGTTTTCTTTGGAAATGTCCTGAGTGCAAATTTAGGTCAAGCTCCTGCAAGACAAGCTGCATTAGGTGCAGGCATACCAAATACAGTCGTTTGTACAACTATTAATAAAGTATGTTCATCAGGGATGAAAGGTTAGTCTTACGTTTATTGAATCCAAATGCTTTTAATTATTTATAATCATATAACATGAATTCTCTTTTTCCAACTCAGCAACAATGATCGCAGCACAAAGCATTGAAGTTGGTGCCAATGATATTGTAGTGGCTGGTGGCATGGAGAGCATGTCTAATACACCTAAATATGTAGCAGGATCAAGGTTAGTCTCAACTGTTAAATATACATCTCATTTTGTACTTTTTATGATATTATTGATGACATGCGTACATATGTATTAAATTAAATTAACAGAAAGGGATCTCGACTAGGACATGATGTTATCATTGATGGCATGGTCAAAGATGGTCTTTGGGATGTTTACAATGACTTTGGAATGGGAGTTTGTGGTGAGTTATGTGCTGAAAGCTTCAAGATAACAAGAGAAGATCAAGATAATTATGCTGTTAGAAGTTTTAACCGAGGAATCACTGCACAAAAGAAAGGTGCATTCAAATGGGAAATAGTTCCGGTGAGAGTCAAACTTTATGGTCAACAAGATGATGATGTGGCGTAGGTTAAATTTAACTTACCATGGTGGTTTCTCGTGTAGGTGAAAGTTTCTTTGGGAAGAGGGAAAGGAACTGTTGTTGTTGATAAAGATGAAGGCTTAACAAAGGTAAATAGTATTTTTTTTTTTTAAACAGTTTTGTAGACTATTTATGGAGTAATGTTTTGGATAATTTGTTTTTTGTGTAGTTTGATGAAACAAAATTGAGGAATTTAAGACCAAGTTTCAAGGTTGAAGGTGGTTCAGTCACTGCAGGCAATGCTTCTAGTATAAGGTCTGATACTGTCACTGACACTGTCACTGTCATTGTTACTGTTTCTTATAAGATGATGAATGCACAGTGATGGAGCAGCTGCATTAGTGCTAGTGAGTGGAAAAAAGGCATTAGAACTTGGATTAAAAGTGATTGCTAGAATAAGAGGTTTTGCTGATGCTGCTCAAGCCCCTGAATTATTTCCAACTGCTCCAGCTCTTGCAATACCAAAAGCTATTTCAAATGCTGGATTAGAAGCTTCCCAAATTGATTACTATGAAATAAACGAAGCCTTTTCTGTAAGTATTCATTCATGTGTCATTTTAGCTCAAATCCTTACTTTTTTTTTTAGTGTTGATGAATTTGTGATTTGGAAATTGGAATTGTAGGTTGTGGCTTTGGCTAACAAGAAGTTGTTAGGAATTGGTGATGAACAACTTAATGTTCATGGTGGAGCTGTATCGTTAGGGCATCCATTAGGTTGTAGTGGAGCTCGGATTTTGGTTACCTTGCTAGGGGTATTATCGGAAAAGAATGGAAAGTTTGGGGTTGCTGGTATTTGCAATGGGGGTGGAGGAGCATCCGCACTTGTTCTTGAGCTCATGCCAACTTCAAGGATGAGTCACTCCAGACTGTGACAAGGAAATTGTAATGATGTCTGTATCGATAAAGTGTTTGCTGTATAAATAAAGTTTGTTTCTTTTCTAGACTACATAAACCGCCTTAATAAGACTAAATGTCTATTTTACCCTTTCGTTTCAACAAACAATAATATTTTTACATATTGGAATCTAAATAATGGCTAATGTACAAAATAATACAGCTAACATAATTGACTGAAAGGTAACAGAAGAGGGCATGCTACCATTATCCTTGCGAAAGAACATCCCTTCATATAATGGAATGTTAATGAGGATTATCAAACCACACAAAACCATCTGTACACCTAACTCACTAAAACCATTAATGTCTGAATCCATAACCACCCACTTTACTCCATTAACAAAACTGAGAACATTAAAGAGTGCAAGTGTTGATAAAATGTTGAACATTGGTGATGTGGCACCAAATTCCATGATCTCTTTGTTGTATCTCTGTAACGTATCTTCTTCAGAAACCTTTGATGTGATGACAAAACCAGAAGTGGTGAAACCCAATGACTTGAAGACGACATCACAGAATCCAAAAAGGTAAGAAGTTAATCTTCTGTACAACCACATCCTTTGGTCATTCCACCAACCTTTTAATGTCCCCCCTAACCAGTAAAACTCCCCCAAACTGTAGGCGTATTTTCCAACAAATACATATGCAAAAGGTAGAAACCAGTAGCTCGATAACTGCATACATAGTTCAACACAATCAAACATATGAATGATATTATAGTAAAAAAGAAATGTAAGTTGTTGATTTTGAAATGTTTGAAAAGTCAAACCTTTGGGAACAGAGAGATGTGTGCGAGGAGACAATAAGAAGGGACAGAAACGTAATATAGCGTAGCCCAACAATTTGCAGCCCATAAAAGGTAACAGCAATAAGAAATTTGAAGCTTTAGTGGAATTTTGTTGTGCCCGAATACAAGGGGGCAGTATTGGGATAAGAATATCTGGAAGTCACCTTCTGCCCATCTTTTTGTCTGTATAAGTGTCTGTAACAGTGTAGTTGGAGCAAGTCCTAGGAACGCTTTTCTTTTTGGATTTAAGTGGACAGATCTCCAACCTCTACATTTTATGGTTAATCCAGTAATGATATCTTCAACTGGACATCCATACTTTACTCCCATCTGTATGGATACAGTTAGAGCATAGCACAATGTTTTATATATATATATATATATATATATATATATATATATATATATATATATATATATATATATATATATATATATAGAGAGAGAGAGAGAGAGAGAGAGAGGGGGAGAGAGACCTCTTTTCCCCATTGAGTGTTGTGTTCATAGCTACAGCTTACAAGAATTTTGCATTCGTTTTCGATCGCGTCAATACTTTCTGTAATTTCTTTATGATTCTCTTTCTCGCAATTGATTTTTGAGTCGATGGTATAGATTCTGCCACAGAGAGTATCTCTTCTGTGAAAGCAACCACTTCCAACGTATAGGCACCCTCCATAAGAGTCCAAACCTCCAACCTCCACCTTTATCAAAAGGGTAATATGGTCATTTACTTCCATTCAGACAGACAGTTCATTCAGTCTAAAAAGAAACAATCTTACATCATTGATGACCATTAGAGAATTGTTGTAAACATCGTTTCTTGTAAGATTATCAAAGTTTTGTGGAAACTGTACGAATGCAATATTATTTTGGCTCCTTTCATCCATGAAAAAACACATGGCATCTCGTATAGATTCTGAGTTGTTTGAGTACATATCGCAATCCACATTTAGAATTATTGGGTTGTTGCTTATCTTTGATGACACTCGTATCTGTTGATTCATTTACAAATTAGTAAATCACTACATCTTCAATACATTTTCTTTTTATCATACATGAATTGATGTGCTGAATATAGATTACCAGAGCATTCATGGCTCCTGCTTTGAAGTTATGATGCCATTCACGTCTCTTCTCACGTGCCACGTATACCAAACCTGGCAAACTTTTCCCTTGTGTATCTCTTGCTTCGGGATCTCTTTGATCAATTAGTATCTATATATAAAATTTTAACCTTTATGTATATAATTATATAAGTTATGGTTTTTTTATTTATTTAATATGTAGTATGTGAAAGATACGAAGTACTTGAATAATAGCCTGATGGTCATTTTTGTTTGAACCCAAAACCCATTCTTGAAACCCTTTATGCTCTTTTCTCATCTCTTCTGTCACTTTCCCTAAACTTGTGGTGTCATCTATTCGTTTCCTCATTTCTTCATATTTATTCTGTTCGGTTATATAAAATATAATTATTAATTTATGATACTAGTTTATTATTTATGTAATTATGTTGCGAGGTCTGACCTTGATAGATGACCATTCATTGTTGATGGGAGATGCATGAGCAAAGTAAGCCGAGGGTGAACGTGGCTCAATCTTGTACCTTTTGCAAAAGGGTAGCCAGTATTTACAGAAACGAGAAGCTTCTAGAAGTGCAAAGAACGTTAATTCTGATCCACCATCATCGGAGACATAAATGTTGAGCTTTTCCGGTGGGTAATCGTATGCCATCATGGATAACACCGTGTTTATCACCATTAATGGCGGCTCTATTACTGGGTCAGCTGTACAGACAAATATATCAACACCAGGAAGCACGTTTTCGTACCTGCAAACATATATAGACAACATTAACATGACAACAGCCACATGTTGAAGATAAGATTGTGGATAATAATTGAGAAATTAAGAGACTTGAGAGAGAGTTGGTCTTTGAAGGTCAGGTGTGTGACTGGATTCCATCGAACCAATTGGGTTATGAGCCAGTAGAAGGTGAACCATAGCTCAGCCATGAACAATCCAATCCATAAATATCTTCCGGTTTTGCCCTTTTCGGGTGTGTGGGTTGCTCTATAAACGCATATCAAACATATACCCATCGCCATTGATGCTGCATAAACCTTGAACAAGGTTCTTCCTTTAGTTTGCTTGGTTTCAAATAAAGGAAAGTGTTCAATGTCTCCCATCTTTTGCTCTGTGTGCGTGACTGTGTGTGTGTGTGTGTGTTTTGATGCTTTATTTGGTGGTTCTGGCATGCAAGGCAGGTCACGTATTGTTGTTTTTTTCCTTATGGGTTATCGAAGGGATG